TGGCGGTCAAAGCTCCGTAACTGTTGAGGAATCCGGTTGTTTTGGTGTAATATCCGCGAAAAGTGAGACGTCGCTGGCTGTCAGTCTCCCGGCGGGGCTCCTCATCGGCCACAAAAGTGCTGATTCAGTGGCGGGTCACGGAGCCTTGTGTCCTTTTATGGTCCAAGTGTTTTAATGTGGGAAAGTTCCGACGAGAGGAGGAGATAGAAAGGAAGAGAAAACACACATACACACGCACGCACACACACACCCACGGCCAACCTGCAGCATCCTTCCTTTCACTCGCCACTCGAGCTGCACTGTGTGCGTGCGCGTTCACTTTGCATCACGAAGCCTTTTGGCTCAAGAGTGCAACACGTCCACTGGCGAATCACGAAGGCGTAAAAATCTGTTCGCCGCTGCAAAATCACATTGGTCGTTTGACTTTCAATGCGGGCATATTTCAGTTTTACCATTGGGAGGTGACGTCATGAACACGAGATTGAAAGGCGAGCTGTGGACATTAAAAAAAGAAGGTAATTAAGTGGAAAGGTTAAAGTAGCATTTCAAACTGGCAATGGCATCACATTATCAGCCGTATACTATTTGCCGCTTTCTTATCACCCCCAAGTGTATGTATTTTATTCATAAAAAAAAATCCACATTAATTGATTCACTGTGAATGTTAGAAAAAGAATGGAACATGAACACGTGTTTACATGCATTTTATTGTGAGTAAAAAAGTCAAAGTGAAATAATCAAAGTGACATTAAAAATATTTATGATGCATGTAGGAATGAACTGGTTCGTTTTGTGTAAAATAAACCTATTTGTGGATTGTAAAAAAAATGAAATTAATTGAGCTCATCTAATCATTGGGTGATTGTCGAAAAATGTTTTTCAAAATGTAATTACTAAATACATAAATGCACCCCCATTTCATTTTTAAAATCAAATGTGCCCAATAGAGCACCTTTTCCAAGTGTAAAAAAGAGGTTATTTTCTGGTAATATTAAACATAAGAAAAATCCCCCCCCCTAAAAAAAATCTCACCTACATCCTGTTGTCACCGGGTCAACATATTGTACCGAGCAGCCTGGACTGGTATACCCGCGTATGCGTCGTACACCGTTAGGCCGATTTGCAAGCCGACGTAACACCGCATTCCTTCACCGTGGTGACATTCACAAGGCTTGTGTTTTTCCCTAAAGAATGCAGCCGCATTCAAACACTGTTAAATTATAACAGAGAGGAGGAGGAGGCGGCGGCTGATTTAGCGGCTGTGGCTGCAGCATCCATCCATCCGCTAAGGCAACTTAACAACAAGGCTGCTGTCATCATTTGTCAGATAACACAGCGACCGTAAAGTGGTTTCCTCATCAGGCTGCCGCGCTCCACTGCCTTTGTATTCCGCAACGCAAAATGACTCAACTTCATCTCGTTATCAGAACAATGCAGCGGAATAACCTGGGAAGTTGTACGGTTGGGCCACTGCAGCGGCCTGACTTTAAAGTTTAGTGCAAACAGAAATGAATGGATGTCTTACAGAAGAACGTGAGATGAATCACTGGTCTTACTTTTGACCAGAATCTTTTGACCAGAATCTATTGTGGGCCTATCCCCCCCCACCAATAATAATAATAATAATAAACAAAAAAAAACCCACAATTGAAATGTTCAACCAAACAACAAAATTTTGTCAAACGCAACTCCGCTAACGTCATGCTAACAGAAACTAGCATCTGTGTCATGGTAATCATAAACCTTGAAACAGCTGCTACATTAGCACACACGCAGCATCACCGCAACAAAACAGGACAAGTAAAATGCTCCCAGGCATATATTGTCTTGCAGTGAAGCCACAGCCGGTTGAGACGAAGCCTCGGGCGCTGTAACTTCGCGGCCACTCGGCTAATTGTCACCCTGTGGTGGTGTTGACTGTGACTCCTGCCCTCGTCGAATGTCTTCCACTGATAGCGGCCTCAACCGATAGCTCATTACTCAAACGTGTCGTGAACAAGCTTGAGGCGCTTCTTTGATAAAACACCAAAACAAAAACACACACGGGAATGTGAGAAATTGCCGTGTGTGTGCGCGCGCGCGTGTCTATCTATCATCGGCCACATCAAGGCGGCTCTGCCCGCCAACACTTCAACGATGTCGGAGGCGGCTCAATATTCCGCCGCGGCCGTACGACGGAGCGATCTGCATCAGCATCATACGCGCTTCTCGGCTGCCTTAACGTTGTAATGAGAGCCGTGCTGGAACGAAAGATGCTAACGTTTTTTGATTGACGCTGTCAAGTGTTTTCTCCCGCGATATCGCGGTTCATCATTCATGGCCCTGCGTTTGTAGGCTCTGTTTGCTGCTCCGTGGGTTGAAGTAGCAGTTGTTTGGAGGTTTTAGAATGACCATAACATCTATGGGCATTTCCATTAGCCTGTTGATTGCATTACGCATTGCGTGTTAGCATTAAGCTAGCAAACTGTTGTTTGACAAAGTTGTGTGTTTTTGTTTTGTTTTTGTTTTGTCTTTTACAGCGAGTGAGTCAGAACAGGGCATAAGCAGCATTTTTTTATGTGTTCTAAAATATACACAAAATGTTTTTTGTTTTGAAATATGGTCTCTCTACATTGCAAAAGTACAAATACAGTGGAAGATAGAGATCGGGTTTCGGCCAGAGAGCGTACATTATAGCTGTCTCTGGCAACCCAACAAGCATGTGAATCATCTCGTTAATCAAAAATATGAATACTTGAGATGATGTGCCTTTTTTTTTTTTTTTTTCCCGAGGAGATCTGGATCGTCTTGCAAGCGTCGTGTTCCCACGACCCGCAGCGTTGCCATGATACCAAAGCGTCTGTCATCAGGCCAAATGTTTCAAACACAGAGGAATTAACGCTACCATTTTGGCAGCTTATCGCTGTTTGACATTTGGCTGCAGGGGATTCTTGATTTATCATTTACTCAAATAATTGACAAAAACATGCTTGAAGACTCAAAATTGTCCAAAGCAAAAAAATCATCTGTGCCCTGCAATACGGGTTGCATGATTTTTATTTTTTTAGTAGTTGACGCCAAGCAAGGTTGATACAATTAACGATAGTTGATTTCACTTAGGCATCCGTGTCGTTAATTCCAAACAGGTGATTGGCGATTAATCGACTTTGAGCTACAATCGTCACTGCGCAGTGCTTTTGTCGACGAGTCTGCTCCAGGTTCACGCGACCTCCATGAGGACAAGCGAATTTTGTTTTTGGACCTTTGCCAGTTGGTTTCCAGTGAGTTGGGTTGCATATTAAGCGATTTATTCCCGAGGTTAAAGCAGAGCAACCGGAGAGCGCCGTCTGTCTCGCAGACAATCTCACACACCCACACGGAGGTCAAATGGAGCTTTTACTGCTTGACTCTGTTTATGTCTGAAGCCATTAACGGACGGTTGTTACTGCCGCAAGTGAGCGTAGACGAGTCGGACGTCGGGCGGTCCGTCAGAGGTGACGTGGCGGATGCGCGCGTCGCTGGCGAGACCTTCGAGCCAAGCGCAAACTCACCTCCATAGAAGGAGCAGCGCCGCATTCCTGCGCCACCCTCAGCTCCGGATTTTGACTGAGGTTAAATCATTTTGGTTTTGGGGAATGTTTGCCGGGGATGGAGGTGCTCACATGAGGAAGAATTCTTTTTATTTGTCCCACTAAGGAGACAAATAACCGTAGCCCAAACCCCGACCTGAACTCTGCAAACACAAACAGTTCAGCGGCACATGTCAAGAGACAACCGAACACTCACCGTCACCTATTCTTTATCCTCTGCGAAGAATGACTAATATCAGTGGGGCACCGATAAATTTAGAGGAGGCAAGAGGTCTCAATGTTCAGAATATACTGCAGGTGGCCTCAGGTGAACAGCACAATGTCCATTCCAATGATGCAATGTGACAAAAACCTTTTGTTTAATTTGTTTATTTTTTTAAGTCCTCTGTTGCTCAAATATTCGGTGGTGAACTATTTTAAAAAAAAAAAAAAATCACGAAAGTCCTATACCGTGACTCTTATTAAAACGTGGATTCTCTGGCGTATTTTTGTCCAGTAACTTTAAGGATAACTTTGAATGAACATTAAAACGTCGCCATTGGGGCTGTGACATTGACTTATGGACTTGCAAAGCTAAACATGGCACGATGTCGCCCCAATTTCAACTCTGCATTCCTAGAATTTTGCCCCCCGCCACCCCCACACACACACAAAAAAAAAAAATGCGGCAGTCGTCTTGGAAAGTCGACAAAGTGCCTTCATCAGGAAATTCCTATTTTATTAGCTTGCGAGAGAATATTTGTTTCTCTTTTTTTACTGTTACCAGAGGTGAGCAGAGTCGCCGACAATTCTACTCAAGTAAGAGTATTGTTACTTTCGAAAAAATATGACTCAAGTCAAAAGAAAAATCCCTCAAATGTATCCGAGTAGTCACATTCCCGGCGTGCTGTCCCAAATGAACATCTCAAGGTTTTAAAAAAAACAAAAAACAAAAACATACCACCAAATTTGGAAATACCTGCTAGATCAAGCTCCAAATTTAGCCTCTCCCAATACTCGCCCTCAGCCGGCGGAGACGCGAGCCTCCGTTCTTGGATAAACTCTCGGCCGCGAAAGTTATTTGTTGTGTTTCCCTCTTGGGCGCAGTTTGTCTTGCGCTGTCCCGGCCGGGCCGGTGAGTTATGGCGGCGGGGAGCGCTCGCTCGGGCAGCTGCCGGGAGTTTGACCGCTGATGGATGGGCGAGGCCCGCGACGGCCGAGAGACGTCATCCTGCGAAGGGAAGCGGGCGGCAACATTCATTCATTCATGCATTGCTTTAGTCATGGGGGCCACTGAAGAGTCTGTCCTCAAACGTTCGTCAAAATCCTTGCACATACCAGAAAGCCACAGT